CTGTCTACAAAAGCTGAGCTCAAAGTAATAGTTTAGCGCTTTAGTTAACAATGTGTTCCCAGGGATATGTCTGACAAAGTCAGAGGCACGACTCTTACCAAAAAGGCGTCCCTTCTTGGGGGGGGAAGAGAGGTTCAGGCCCGTCGACCTGTCCGTCAGGTGAAGTTCTCGCTTGGCTCCTCCTCCCAAAGAGAGTTTTCAAGTGCCAATTTTTATATGTTTGGAAATATTTTTGTGAGGTGGGACTAAGTCAATTATTGTGTATCGATTGGCTCTTGGCATGGAATGTCGTGTCCTCAGAAGCAGGACTCAGCAGTGTGACACGCCTTCGGAGCGGGCATCTTGGTATGTGGATTCGGGGGCCATCTGTGCTTTATCCAAAGCAATCTCTGAAGCAATCTCTGGCTGGGCAGCCTCCGCTTCGCCCCACAGATCACTTGGTTTACAGTGATGGGCTATCCCCCTTTACTGTTGTCTGATAAGATAAGCACCAGTTAATTAATTCCTTTGTTAGCTCTTGGGCTCTTGACACCTCAGTCGAGAGACGCCTCAGTCCAAGTTTGTCTTTGGTCTTGCATTTGCCAAGTCCAGCAAGGCCATCAATTACAAATGGCAGAAGTAATGTTTTAGCCAGAAAATGTAAGACTGCAGGAATAGCTTGTTAATTGGTGCTTTTTGCAGTATATGTGTCTTCATAGCATAAATACTATAAATAAAGTTCCTGCATGCGTTGCATGTGTCTGTCGATGATTGCTACATCCAAATTCATAATGTTGTCGTCTTCCAAGATAAAGCTGTGTTCAATCTGTTTCCCACGCAGGGAGAGTGGCTCTTAGCAGCCATTCTGATACTGTGCCAGATCTACTGCTTGTAACTGGTATTTTCTTGAGTTGCAACGTCATGGACCTGTCGTTCATTAGCTTTAAATTACATTTATTATAATAGAAAATATATAACTGAATTTTGTCTTGTCCTTTTCAATGGATGCTTTCTGATCATTGTGTGTGAGAAATAAATCTCCATAGAAAATGGCTTTTGGGAAGCAACATTTGATATAGTGATTTGAGTTTTTGTTAGTGGTGGCTGAATTGGAATTACAGTTTAGCATGTTTCCCATTAAAATTGGTAGCAACAGCATCACCAAACATGCTTTCAAATTACTGTATATTTTGGCTGAAAATTGTTGACTTTGCATATGTATTACTTTCTTTTATCACCAAAAAATGTGTATATACTATCAAAAGTAAAATTTCAGCATTTTAAGCACTTGTTTAGACATTTCTAAACATGGATCCAAGCTTATGCAGATATGATAATCATTACATTTTTCACTACATTTGATGTTAAGTGAAATCACAGTGTAAATTAATGTACTAAAATATATTTGTTTTGTGTATTTAATAATAGTTATAAAAATTTATGTCATAAGTCTATCTGTTGTTGCATGCACACTAAAACCTCCTTTGCTTTACAAATGGCATGCCTACTTCTCTTGCCCCTCTCCCACCACCACCTTAAACCGTGCCGTAATAGTAGGAATTTGAAATCCTTGTAGAATAAGATAGATTACTACGCTTGGTGTGCCATTTGTATATTGTTGTTCTAAAGAAGAAATGATTGTGGAACACAGAATATATTTTGAAAGAAGATACTCTTTGCACATTTTATCTTTGGAGCAATGAGAAATTGTATCTTTCAAACTGCTGAACAACCTTTCTCTTTTTTTATAAAATATACTGTTAGGGAAGAAAGTATTTTCCATTTATAGGCTGTCTGTTTACAAAACATTATTTTTTTTTAAGTCCTAGGCCACCAATTCCTCTATCTCTCCTTCTGTCAGAAGAAGAAGCAAGCATAGTAATTCAGTCCTTCTGGAGAGGTTATCGGGTAAGAGTAATCTATAATTATTTTGCTTCATGTTGAAAACTGTAGGACTGTGAAGGCCCCAGGGAAAATCCTTACATAAATTTTAAGTAGGGGATACTATAAATAGCTGCTGAGATCCCCATGGTTCATTGGCTTTCGATGTTGCTCTGCCTTATGCCTAGTGACTACAATTTTTTCGCAGGCATTTACGCTGATATAATCTCCCTGTTCTCCTCAACAACAGAAAATCCACACAAATTTGATTTTCAAAAGTACAATTAACACTGGACAATTTTCTTTTTTCTTTTTAGTTGACCGTTGGTTAGTTGCTAAAGGATAAAGTGTTATTTTTCTTCATGCAGGGGTATGTGAGTGAGTGTGGAGATGCACAAGGACAATTTCTGAGGTCTGTTAAGAAATAAAAGTATACAGAAACAAAGGACAAAAAATTGAGACCAAGAATGAGACAGGAGATGTAGGAGAGACATGAAGGCTGTTATTCAAGGAAAGAGAAAACAGAATGGCGAGCAGATATTGCAACCCATACTGGTAATACAACACTGACGCAGTCCCCAGTTTAAGGGGGAAAAGCAAGGTGCATAAAATAAACAGAAAGAGAATTGGATAATCCTTAATATTATTATTATTATTATTTTGGAGGGTAACAGCCATGCTAACCCTAGGATATGCAATTAATTATTTTGAAAATCCTGAACAGATTCTGTCAAATATTTCTTTGAAAGGTTCTAACACCTTCATGCCTTGGAAAGAAATGGACTTGAAATTCAGGTGACTTTGGTGACAAAGAAATGTCTTTGACTGCCTTTATCAAAATTTAAGCTTGTAAATAGCCTCCAGATATAGCAGTAATTTCGTTGTGATGGACAGTGAGACATCTCTGTACATCAGGTGTTCTTTAAGTAACAATCAGTATAAAACACTCTCTGTTAAGTTCTTCTTTACTACTTTAAACAAGCATGAATATATGAGTGGCTACTGTAATGTGCCGTGCAGCCAAAGATGATGAAATACCTTGAAATGATCTTCTTGACTGATAGATTTTTGTGACACTTTCTGCTTGTTCGTTTTCCTTTATGTTTCTTCTTTTAAACAGAGATGGCATTGACACTAACATGAATTAGCACTGACAATATCACTGCAGGCATCCTCGCAGTGAAGTATCGCAAAGGCAACCGTTATCCAATAACAGTTATGTTTGCTGAGCAGTGCAAGGTTGCTCGGATACCTTGTACTTCTACTAAAGCTTCTGAAGGGCACTATCCTTCCTCACTATACGTATTAATTATTTTCACAGTAGTATTTATCCTTCTAAACCAGTTCCCAGAAATGAGAGAGAAACTGTAGCTATAAAAAGTAGGAGACATAAAAAATAATTCAGACTGTAAAATTAGCAGTTATGTGTTTTAGCTTATTGGACCTGAAAGAACTTGGGTTTTTAAAAATTAAATTTTAAATTAAAATCAGAATATAAAATAAAAATCATTGCTAACAAGTTACTACATAGGGCAATGTGTTATCCTTGGGCTTGTAAGTTAAGAGAACATGAAATATAAATGGGATTTCATCACATTAATGATAGTGTATTATGAAAATTTACCAAAAAATTCAGACAATTTGCTTTTAAAATAAATAGCTCTGTCAGCTAACACTGATTTATTGTGGTAGTAACTAAACATGTACAAATAATGCCCTTTTGCATTCTAAGGATATTATTGTGTCAGTATTTTAAACTCTTTCCTGATGTTTTTCATTAAACCTTGTTCTATAATTCACAGAATTTGGAACTTTTAAACACTGTTATTGAAATAAAAATTTACACATAGTGTTAACATTGAATAATGAAACACAAGCACACATACTATTTTACACTGCACTGTGATAAAAGAACAGTATACTTCATCATTGATCTTCTCAAGATACACCTTAAAGGATGTAAAATTGCATGCCATAGGTACTTGTTTGGAAGATGGGTGGAGAAGGATTCTGGACACACTGTTGGATTTCAGAAAAAGTAAAAGACTCAGACATCTGGGCAGGATAGTTGTGTCTTTAACAATGCTATCCCAAACGTGAACCTCGTAAGTTTTTTATTCTTAAACAATGTCATACAAAGTGTGAGAACCACAGCAAGTTATCTTTCTTGGACACATCTTCCATGGACTCAGACCATTTTTGAGGTATTTTGTTAACCATATTGATCTAGGCAGCAGAGTTTATCTAGTTCCATAACTGACTGAGCATTGCATCTTACCATGGTACTTCACTTGTTTCTGCCACACCTGAGTGTGCCAGTGTCAAAAACACTCTGTGCTCGGCAAAAAGTGGGTCAGGCAGTAAAGATTTTTCTACATAAAGGGAGAAAAAAGCGACAGGTACAGAATATTGAGAACTTTTTGATAATAAAACATGATCAAAGCAGTACATTTATCCTTTTCTGAAGTAAATTTCAGAAAGATACTTGTTTTGGTAGTAATTATTAATGGCTGCCATCAAGAAAATCCTTGCTACAGTCTTTCATACAAAGACATTGATGAGTACTCTGAAAATTATTTCAGGTTTAATCAAGAATTAAATTCCAGAACAAACAGCAGTGGAAGCTACAACTGCTGAATACTCTAAGGAGCCCAGAAGGGAAGATGTCATCTTGAGGGGTCTCTTTGAAGGCAAGGGGGAGCACTGAAATAAGGCTTGAGACAGCTCTGTCATCAGAATACTTTCCCTTCACTTTTCACCATCCTCGTTTATTGAGGTTCCTTCATCTGTCATGAGCCAAGGCAGTATTCAGTATCTGATGAAAACCCTTGATTTGTAGATATCAATTTTCCAGGCAGTTTTCCAGTCAAAGAACATATATTCCGTCACCCCTCTACTGTAGAATCTGTGCTTAGTGCCATTTCTGTTATGGTTTTTTTTAATCTTTACAACTTTAATCTTTGCATAACTATTCTAGACTGAAGGGATTTTTCATTCATACAACTTCCTCTGATGTCTCTGGTCAAAGCTTTAGTGTTATTCTTCCACTGTTGTGCAACATTTTCCCACGTAGCATTGAAAGTAGTTTATTGTGACTAAATCTTGTGATATCGTGGAGTTTAAATTGGACAGCATTATGTAAATGTTCAGTGCTATTTTATACATAAGTATTGTTTGAGCAGAAGTTAAATCACAGTTGAAGCAGATTTATCTTTATATATTACAAAGTGGTGCTGTGCTTTTGCTGTCGCCGTTTGTATTCCTTTCCAGCAAGTATTATTCCACAAAATAGTCACTATTTATTCCACACAAATATTCACTGTTCTTTACAGCAAGTGTAGATTCAGCTAAGTGACTTGTGTAAGAGGGAACTCTCACTTCAAAGTTAGACTCCTTCAGTGCTTCGTGCATCGCTGCTCTGCAGGAGATACACTTCAGGGGTTTGGACAGAACTCTTGACCCTTTGATTATTTGCCTGGAGATTTTGCTGCTGAGTCATGGCTTTTTAAACGTGGTAGAATTGCACGCTGATTACAAAATACAGACTGCTTTCTGAGAAATCATCACGACTATGCTAATTTATAATCTATTAAGCATATTTGGAACTTGTTGATAGTATTGTGTTAAGTTCCTGTTAGCTGTTTTACTGCAGGGGGTGTATCTGTGTTCCTTTTCATTCACTTTTCTAAACAATCACTTTGTTCTGCGAGCTCGTGTTCACTGCTTGGATTTAATGTTGGAGTATTTGAGTCTATCTGACTATGCTTTTGTCTCAGACCCCTGTATTTTGCTATGTATTTCACTACACTTTCACTGTTTTATATATCTAGGGAGAATATACAGTCTGCTATACTCGCCTTTTATCTTTTAACTCTTAAGTGTTATTGTCTTCATTTTCAGTATACAGAGACCACTGTGACCCTGTCATAGGCCAAAATACAGGTCTTAATTAGCTGCAGTTATAAATGGACACTTCATGTTTTTAAAAAAATTTACTTTTAAAAATAGAGGTAGTTAATTTCTCTATGTTTCTGCCTCTTTTCTGCTATTGTCATTTATATGTCCTATAAGCATTCCCTTAACCCTTTCCTGAGCAGATAAACTAACTCCATGTCATGGGGAATTATGGATTCTACAAAAGCATACATGACAGTGTAAAAGAAAAAATGTCTCTTACAAGCCTAAAGAAACTATCCTGTGTTTGGGATTATACTGTATTTTTTGGAAATTGTATCTGATGGATTTAATAGAAAATGGTTTTGATTTTTTTTGTATAGCTGAAAAGAAGATCACCAGTAATGGTAACTTAAGTTTTTAATTATTTTTTAAAATTTCATATCAACATTGTAAGAACGTCATGTAAATTTTATAGAAGATAATACATAACTATATTAGTATAATGGAGTGTTATTAGAGGCCTAAGAGGTATCTGATGTCAAGTCACTGAGTAAAAGTCTTGCCTGTCTTTACTGATCATGTAACCTTGTATTGTATTTCTGCTCTGCCAGTGCATTATCTGAAATATAGCAAGTTATCTTCTTCTAAGTGGATTGAAAAGTCCTGTGGGAGTTCAGCTGCTGTCTGTTGCATTCTTAGCTGCACCACAAAGGAGAGATTCTGGGTGGAAAGAATGCTTTTGATAAATAATTTATATTGTTTTCTTTAAGCTGTTTGGTTTTTTTTTTTTTAACTAGTGGAAAACTAAGTCCTGCTCTTTTGCTCTATATGTATCTCAGGAAAGTGGGGGAAAACCGGAGTGTAATGGAGTAGAGTAGTAGAGTACAAACCACAGAGTGAACTCATTACCATATCATGTAAGAATTAAACAAATACAAGAAATTTTCTAGAAAACTAAGTAGTTAGCTTCCTGAAAGAAAAAATATGCCGGAAGAAACCAAGCTTATTGCTGCTTGTTTCTACCATGCTATTCAAATTCAGCCTGAATTACTAGGACATGAAGTCCTAAAACGTAATGGCTTTTTATATACGTAACATTTAGAAAAAACAGAAACTGCACTTGTAATAATTCCATTATAATTTCAATATGACTCTAAGAGAATAATCACCGATGTCTAAGCTAATACTGGCGTGTCCCCTTCCCACTATTGTCAGAAGGACGGTATCTATTCTGGATTTTTTCTCTAGCACTGGACGTAGTAATTGTGTGAATGCCATGGCAGACAATTGGCAACATACTGCTAATTAATCCAATCCTGCTTAGAACAGGTTTAAGTAGCAGCGTGGTAAAAGCTAGCTCTTTTTTATATTAGTAGGATCTACACTAGCACAAAAGCAATAATAGAAGAATTCAACTTAAATCTTAAATGGAGTCAAGGCCTGTGACTATTGTCATCTTACATGGAAGCAGAATTACTCCCTTCCTTCACAGGGGTGATTGACTGACAAAGAATGGATATCATGTAATGCATTCCAATTACTTTAAATAACAGATTAATTACTCTCCTGTTTGTGAAAATTGTGTGGCTGGGATTGTCAGTAAGCCTATTTGCAGCTGGTAGCAGGTGTGAATCAGTTTGCTGGAATAAATTTCCTGCTGTATGACCCTTCCTGCTCCTCTTCTGCTCTATTATGTTGGTCGATGGGTTGGTTTTATAGTGTTGTGGTTTTCTAAAGGCACTAATACCCTTCAGCATAATGCTTTAAATTTTAATTAACTCAAAGAATAAGCATGTCACTGCAATCACATTCTCAGGAGTCCTTGGTAATCAAAATGATCCCCTAATTGGCATATTTATGTTTTCAGTGGGGTTTGTCAATTCTGTGGTTTTCACTTCTGTATAAATTGAAAACTGTAAACCTCTGGGATTGTGCTTTTATGTCACGCCTGGCAAAAAGGATGGATGTCACGTATTTGCCAAGCACAGCCCATGAAAATAATTGTCTCATTGTCTTGGGTGCCTTGAATGTATGTAATTTTAGTTGGATTTTCTTTTTTACCTTTCCCAGGTCCGCTGTGATAGTGAAATACAAGAGCTACGTCAGTGGCAAAAGCAGTTGCGAGAGGACAAAAATATTATTAAGAGAGTGAAAGAATTCTGGACTAAGCAGGAAGCCAAAGGTAGGTGAATTAAATTGTATATTTTAATGATTTTTCTTTTTACATGAAGTTTTAATTTTTATATTTCAAGTTACATTAAGAAATAGGACACACAGACACGAATCACAAGTGAGAAGAGAAGGCAATGTCTGTTGGAAATGCCTGGGTGTTTCTTTACAGTCACTACTTACTCTTAGTTGCCTGTATAGCTGAAAGTGGCAATTAAAAATACAGTGCAGGGCCAAAGCTAAATAATTTCAGAGAACTATGATAATGTGCTGGCACAGTATTTCCTAGGATCAGACCTCTGCCAGCTATACAACATGTAAGTACTGGTTTTTACCGGACAGGTGGTTGTACAGTTTTTCTGAACTGTGGAATTTCTATTTGGTAGATGTTTTACTGGCATTTTCCTGTAGTTATTTATAGCAGAAATTGGCCTGTACAGTTCTAAAAAAAGAAAACAAACTGAAACAATCAAATATAATTGCCAAGGGAAATGAGGCCAGATTGCTTTAAGAACCAACACTGTAACGTTTCCTTTCTGCCCTGGCTGTGGACAAGGCTTTACTGACAGGGCCAGAGTTATCATTCACTTACTCAGGCGCAGTGGTGTAATTATGATTATTCGCCCAGCCTGTTTGCTAATGCAGGAGGATTCAGTAGCTCCTCAACCAGACTACATTTTATCAGCCTCTGTGGGCTGGACTCGGACATGGTACACGTAGGGATGTGAACTACACACCAAGAGATGGAGGTGAGGTTGTTCAGCCATGTTGTTCATGTGTTGAAGAGAGGGAAAACGATGTTGTACCAGTCACCATTGTGTGGTCTTTCAATCTGATGGCACTGTCACAGATGTGTTCTCATATGGCCGATCTTTGCCCTGAACTACGTAAGAGCATGCAGGGTGCAATTTCACGCAGTCAAGTGGATCAAACTGGGAGCTGCCAAAAGCGTTGATCCCACCCTGTAGCTCCTGCACCAGTTTTAGCGAAACTGCACTGTGGGTTTGGATCAGTGAGGGGTTTTGGTATGGGGCAGGTTCGTTTTCCACAGTGTTGTTGCCACGTGATTGCTGTATCTAACACAAAGGAGAAATGAACTGGAGAGAGAGAGGGATAATGACTTTCAGCAGCCCACAGCTTGGTGAAACTGAGCAGAATATGAGATGGTATTCTCATACCTGGTTACTGTTCATGGCTGAGGACGTGCCAGTCTCCAGGTGACTGGCAGGAGTTAAAAGCCAGGGGCAAGTCATAGCTTAGACCTCTTCAGCTAAGTGCACAAAGGCACATCTGTCAGTGCCCTCATTCTGAGCCTGTTTTTTGTGGGACTTCACTGGGAAAGGAAAGACTTACATTTGAATCCCTGTGGGACAGGACAGTTTAGAATCAGGTTTCTGTGAAAGGTTTTAAAATGCTGAGTCCTGGTCAGTTAGATACCTACTATCCAGAAAAATTTACAGCTCTGGATTTCAAGTGACAGAAAATTGCTGATGTGCAATCCAGAATTAGGCAGCTTAATGGGAGGCCTCTGTCCTCTGTGTTGCCTAATGACCTAGGCAGCTTTTTACTTGGCATTGAATATTTGTGGGTCACCATTTGGAGCTCTTTCTTTTTGCTGCCTCTGTTAGACCATGCCATTGTTTTGTTGATTCACCTTTAGGTGCCCAGTTTCTACACATTTAAAGTCCAAGTGGAGACATTGAATATGTTGTGCTGGGTCTTCACTCAAATGTTTTTTTCTTTCCTTATTCCCTATGCAACTTAACTGTTCTTTTTAATTAAATGGAGTTATTGTGCTCATGCACAGATTAAATAGGGTATTCTGGAATTAAGTGTTTGACATCCTCACAGTATGCTTTATTTTAGAAACTACAGTAAGAATGTCCATACATAAACAGTACTTACTAACATCCCTGCTGTAGCAATCAGAGCATTCTGTAAGTGACTAGAGCCTTGCAATTCTTCAGTAACTCTGGTCATCAAATCTTCTGTGGCTATTGTTCATTTCAAAACTGCCCTACTTTTAATAGATGATACAACTAAAACTTCCCTGTGAATCATTTTAACTATAAAATAGCCCATGCTTTGTAAATGTCAAAGGAATTAACAGCAGTCAGGACATTAACCTGATGCACTGCAATTGCTCTTTCACTTTTTATTGTGCATCCATTCTATCTATCATTAGTTACAAGCAGATCAGGCTAAAAGGTTGACATGAAAATTCCACACATTTCCCTTTCTGCTTGCAACCTTCTTTTGAAATTTTGCCCAAAGGTGAAAGGGGTTTCTCCTTTCACATACGTGAAAGGAGGAAATCCGTCACTAGTAACGATCGTTATAACAACTGGGATTACAAAATAGCCCCTTGTTTTCAGTTTTCCTTATTTTGGTGTTTTTTCCTTCACGCAGAATAAATGTATTAGGCACTTGGCGCTAATAATAACATTTTAAACAAATGGTGGACTCTTTCTTGTGTGAAATCCCAGCCCTTCCAGATGGGCTACTTTTTATAATACGAGCAAATACAAAGTTACAAATTGGTTAAGTTCTCCATGTTTTAAAGCTCCCATGCTGTTAAACCTTTGATTCCCTAAACTGCTTTTCTATTATTTCCCATCTGTACTTGCATATCTGTTAGATAGTTTTGAGGACATCTAGTCAGGGTAATGTTGCAGTTAACTGTGTTAAGTTTGCTGTTAAGCCTTCTGCAGTGTATGTAGAACACCGACTGATTCTACAATCGGAACTGGATAAGTAGATATTTCCACTGGGTATTTTTTACAGAACGATGTTCAGTAGTTACAGTATAAATCTTTTCGATACATATCTTAATACATGGTGCTATTGTAACACAATTTCTCCTCTATTGTGTGAAGTGGGACAGTATTTAAACCCACTTTCACACAAGAGCTGTGTAGCAAACTCCAGGCAGTACTGGGAGCAAACACTTCAAATTGTTGCTGTGGATTTCTGAAGTAATGCACATTTTGTCACATAACATGAAGTGAATCAGTGGCAACTCTCATCCTCTTGGACAGGATGCACTGTTAAAAAGCTGCCCCTACATGCTGCCTCCTTTAATCCTCTGCAGTGCTCACCTGCCAGTCACACGCACAAGCTGGCACCACAGGGTGATTTAATGTTTTCAGTTTAGAGGAACATGTTCAAAAGTACTGCATCCACCATGTTTCCCAGGGCCTGGATGTCAACAACTCCTCCTGGCTTACCTATGCCAGACAAAACTCTTGCTCTGAGGGAGGTCTATTTCCAGTTTTGCTGCTTTCCCTGTGATGAGGGATGGTGACTGCAGCAGCAGCTACTGGATAGTTCTGTGGTTTGCAAGTGCAAGGAAAAGCCTTTTCCTGTTGGAGGTACTTTTCCTGCCCAAACAGCCCCATTCTTCACGATCTCCAGGGAAAACATGTGAGCTGGATTGAAGCTTCTGCTGGCTAGCTTCAGCTGCATCATGCTATTTAACAGAATGTGTCCAATAAAATCTGCTTCCATTGTGGTATTCCAAGATTTATACTATATGTATCGCACCCTGATTTCATTAGAAAATACCGAGTGGAGAAATCTACTTTTCCAGTTCTGATTGCAGAATTAGTTGGCGTTCTGCATATGCTTTAAAATGCTTGGCATTCTTCCAACATTCCTTCCCAGCGTTAGGAGTTCTTGTCATAAGAAGGAGGCTGCATTGATACCAGTACTGACACCAGTACAAATAGCAATAGATTTCTTTGAGTAGATATTTAGATACATTGAGAGGCAGGGTTATAGTTAAGACAGACAGTAAGGAATGCCAACCTCAGAAGCGGTTCTGCATGTCTACATCAAGAGCAGGACCACAATGAAAGCTGTCTCTGCACATTGTATTTCAGCTGTGAAGGCTTAACTGTGAATTCAGTCTGCAGAATTCTCAGGGTAGAATTTTTTAAAACATGAAGACAATTAAGTATCAGCTGATATCAAAGCTGTCTAAAAGAGTAATTTTTCAAAAGACATTGTTTTCAAGACCTTCCTTTATGTAGCATGGTCTCCTCCGTTACCATGCTGTTACAGTATTACGTATTGCAAGGTGTTACGAGCTGACATGCTTTCCTGTGTCAGTACTGTGCTATGTGCAGGACCTTTTGATCACTGCTTCACTTAATTATGAAATGTTCAGAACAAAAAGAATGTTCTTCAGAGCAGTATACATTGTAGTACAAATACCAAAACTAAAAGACTGTCAGTTTTTTGGGGGGATAGCAGTTTGTTACAAGGGCTGCATAGATTTTCCAAACATTTATTCATATTTTCATTGCAGTTTTAATCCACAGAAAGTCAGATTTCATTTACCAACCCATGCAGTTGCCTAAGGGATATTTTATAGCTGAAAAGAATTCATTCTGAGGAGCAAAATCATACATCACAACAGGGAAAACCTGCATTTATATGTGTGTATATATATGGGGTGTTCTTATGCAATAAGTGAAGTAGAATTCTTGGATTTAGTAGTTTAGAGCTGGAAGATTAAACAAAGTAGTAACTAATACCAGTGTACAAAACTGATGAAAAATAAAATCCATGGGACATAAGTTGTCTGCCAGCAGACCTGACTGATAGGTAAAGAAACCTTTGGCAATGCAACCAAGGTTTTCTTCAAGTCTTTGTGGGATTTCATAGCTTATTTACTATTTATTTACTATGGTTTATTAAGAGTTTACTTTGAAAAAAACCCACAAAGTAGGTTTGTTTTTTTTTAAAGAAGATATAAATAAATCTGATTTTGAGGATCTAAAAACAGTGGATTCAAATTTACTATGATAAAATTCATCTCATTATAAATTTAAAAAATAAAAGCCAAATTCTTCTCTATATAATATATGTTTAATTCTGAAAAATTGCATTCCTGAAGGTCATGATAGAAGTTGACGTAGCAGGCTTGCTAATTTATTTTAAATGATTGCAGTTTAAATGTTTGTGTTTGGACTCTCTGTTTTCAATTTGTTAGCATTTACATCATCTCATCAAGGCATATTTTTTCACGTTTCACTGCCCATGATACCAGTAAGAATTACAAATGCGTACGTTTCCCACTTATTTCTAAGAAAAAAGCCTATATATTTACAACATACCACTGTGAAAAAGGATGTATATGATACTAGATCATTAAACAACCATAGTTTACAGTCTTCATGCATGTAAAATTTAAAAGTGAAAATTACAAATGCATTTTCAGAAGACAAGATGAAACCATTTTCAAAATGTTGCAACTAAGAAAAGTAGGGGCTAAGGGTGGACTGTGTCATTTGGCAGTTGAATTGATTAAAAAAACTCCTGTCTCTGAAGAACCTTAATCTTTCCATAAACTATATTTATGTGGTTTTGGAGAGTAATGTGGTGATAAGATATCCTTTGCCTTCTTTGCCAATTGTTTCAAAAGGAAAACCAAATTTCCTTTTAATCAGTCTCATAGAGCTTTCCTGTCATCAAATCAATTATTTTAGGACTATAGGACACACAGCTGTTTCACCACTTCAAAGAAAGTTGTAAAATTGCCCCTTTTCAATTTTTTTCTTAAACCAGTGCAAGTTCGTATTGCTTATGTCACATTAGCTTTCAGTATTATCACATTGTTTTTGTAATTCCTGAACTGAGCTCTGTGAAGTTAATTTGAGAGTATCCATACATAAAATAGCCTTGGGGCCCAGACAGATGGCTGTTTGGAAACAGCTGTACTAGTTTGAGAAGTTACTGTTTTTTCTTTTTTTTTTTCATTATCAATCTCAGCTGTGAGGCCATAATTAATTTTGTTAGTGCTCCAGCTGCTCTTATTTCTGCTGTTTATTAATGTCATTAAACCCTGTTTCACTGTAAAGTCAGCAAGGTTAGTTTAACTGCTTTTACCAGTGATTCAATCTAACCCAGCTGACTTTGTCCTGAAGTGGATTGTGAGCACTCACACGATAA